TAGCACTTTGTCCTTTTACGCAAGTATCTTCCACAACAGAACAGGCCACAGCTTCTCCCTGGTGTTTGGTCCCCATTTATTATCCAACGAATCTGAGACTAAAGCTGGAGAACAGCTCATGGGCCATGACCTAGAGACAGTTCAATTCAGTAGTTAGGGGAATTTCATGTGAAATCTGAGTGCTGTAGATAATTTCTTGGCATGGAATCAAACATCCTTTTGTCTTTTCAGTGCCCTTCAGAACAGCTCCCATATCCACATCAACCCTATCACCTTGCTTACAAAATGTAAATGCTTATTTCCTTCCCTCTCCTGCTTCTCAACAATGAAACAATATTACATATAAAATAAGCTTATTGTGCCATGAAATTGCAATCCATTTCAATGTCAATGCACAAATCTCCAAACTAAATCTCTCTTAAATCTCTCCAGATCTGAAATGGAGATCAAGCCAGGAAATACTTTTGTCGTTGATTTAAAATCAATGTTTTGTATTTCATTTGAAGACTTTTAGCTTGATCTTACACCAAACTCTCCTGTCTCCTACACTGGCACAAACAGGGTAAATTCATTGACCACATCAAATAGATAACTTAAAGGTCAAGCTTTCACTCCTCTCACAGAACAGCAGCAGCTTCAGCATTGAAAGAAGCAAGGTGGTATCAGCTTCCCATGCCCTCCCACAGCCCCTCTGTGCCTGTGTCTGCCTGCCCGATTCGCCTCTGCACTGGAAACTCCCTAGTGGAAGCTCGCACCTCCCACCTCTCTTGCTGTGAGGCTCCCTGCAAATTCTTCTTCTGATCGAACTGCCTCTTTCCTGGATTGTCCTTAAAAAGTCTCCCTCTGCCCAGCCATACTTTAAGATGGCTACAAAGGCAAGTGATTAAAAAAAAGTGCATGCTAATCAAGTCTACCATTATTAATGTTCATTGATTTCAACATTGAGCTCTGGATGACCCACTCTGGCCATCTGTCTCTTCTCACTCTTGTTTTGAAAGCCTGGTATGTACAAATAGAGAAAATACGAGAAAAGGGCTGGGTTTCTACACACCTGCCAAATGCAGGTCCTGCACTTTCAACTGCCAGCACTTCAAGTAAAATGTGCTGCACTAAGCAGGGAACTAACAGATTTATTTAACAAACAAGTTAATCACAGGGCAAAATCTGTCAGCCTTAAATCATCTGCAATCTCTAACAAGAACATGAGGCTTTCCGACTATGCAGGATAACTTTCTGCTCAGCTGGTGCTCTAATGGGCTGCAATCTTGGCTCTCACAGCAGAGAATCCCTACGAGGCTGAAAAATGGGTGTGCGCTGGATGTAAGACACAAAGGTGTTGAAGATCACCGATTCCAGAAAACTTCCATTTTATTTCTTCCGTTCATTTTCTGCTGAAAGTTATTTTCCATGCTCCTATTTAATTTATGGCCAGTCTGAATGGGTCAACTTGTTCTATTAATGACTGAGATGGAAGGATTTATTTTCAGAGAAAAAAATTAGAAGCAAATGATTTCTTTGCTAATGAGTATAAGCACACTGAACTGTGATTGTCCTTCTCTGCCTGGGCTCAATTCCACAGATCACACACCTACCGCACTCGGTACCAACAAGCTGGGTCCTGTGAAAAGGAAGGCTTTAATACTCTTTTCTTCCATAGCTCTCTACCTTTGCTGTTTCTCTGCCAGCATCCCCTTTCATGTGTGCCTAGATTAGGCCTGACCATAACACATTTTTAAATGCCATCCAAACAGCACTGGCGTTGTTAGGGTTGCCTACTGCATCACAAAACTCCACTATAAAGCTTCTCTTTCATCTTCTCCTGACTGCTTGCTGTTCTGTTACAGAATGCCCTGCATCTGTCATTTGTAAACTATCCATCATCTTTCCCTAAAAAGGCTTGAAGAGCCATCTATTTTGTGATTTTTCAGCCAGCAGATTCATCTCAGCACTCGTTCCATTTTAATGTTTCTCCATATGAGTCTGAAGCAGCATATCTTGTTTGTTCAGCATCCCTTTGAAATGGTGTTCATTTCTGTAGCTGCACTTTGTCTAAATTGGAGGTAACAGCATAAACCAGTTGTGGTTTACACTGAAAGAATAAAATCCTCATTTATACTTCCGATTTGTGTCCAAAAATACCAAGATTAATCCTAAATAAAGCTCATCCTGTAGTCAAGCAAGCAGAGGCTTAGCCATCAGTCTCACCTAGTTCATACAGTAGCAGCTTTGTTTCAGCTTCTAACAAAAGCACTGCAGATAATTTTGACTATATACTTTTTTTACACTTCTGAGTTTCCCAGGTGAGCCTGTTCTCAGTCTGTTCTCATGCAACAGAGAATCTAAGTGCTTCAGAAAGCAGGCTTTCTATCTGCTTTCATCATTCTTTCTCAATTACATTATTTAAATGCAAGTTATTGATCATTATAATACCCTCATAAGCCCTAAGATGGAATGTTATTTTACAAATACCAGCCATGAGAGTATTGCAATAATGAGTAACATGGCAGGTTTTCATTACAAGTTTCTAGATATTCCTAGCCATTACATTCTGCGTTCAGTTAAATTTCATGTAAAGCGCACGTGCGTTCAAATATACTCTGACAAATAAATTTTCTGAGGCTTAAATAGTAGCACAATTAGAAAATCTTCCATGTTTTCTGTAGAAAGTATGTTTAGTGCTGCTGCTCACTCTGGTTTTAACTTAGCTCCAGAACAGACCCTTCAGATAGAGTTCCTTTTCAACAGTTTACTTTTTAAGAAGTGCTTTTGTTGTTGATGTCTCAGTTTCTATGGCATAGTTACTAAGTGTTGCTTAAAGTGAGACTAAAAATACTTTTCTAATATTTACATAGAGAAGAGCACAAAATTGTGAAAAATACCACATGTGTGGATAGCTCAGGGTATGCACATCTGCAATGCTTTTTATTTTGCCCCACGGTGGATAGCTACTCTTCTCTGTACTACTAAAGCTGCTACTTTTAGGCCTTTAATTAAAAGAGTCCAGTTTAAAATAGTTCATGGCATCTATATCACAGATATTTCTTCACACACAGTACAAACACAAATCAAGAATAGAATAAAATTTAAAAAAACCACATGTGCCTAATCTATTTGGTACCATCTGACCTGATCAAACCTCTGTTACAGTCTTTAGTTAGCTCACTAGTGAAAATACAGATGTAGCTACAGGCATTCATGTAGTTTTCAAACTAAAACACACAAGGATTAAGGGAGAGAGCAAAAATATATTTCCTATGGCTATATGGCAGGATTCGTACAGAGATTTAATTGATTTTGAAAAGCAGATAGTGAGACATCATTTAAAACTCGACGTATTTGACAGCTAAGTCGCAAGTTGGTCACCTGAGATTCTACTTGTTAAATGGAATAACCAAAATACCTAGAAGGGCTTTCTGTGTAAATGAAGGCACCAGCAGAGATACATTATAAGCAATCAGCAAGCTAAACTCACCCATTAAACGTAAAACTTATAAAATAATAATCATTTGCCCAAACTTTACACATGGTTTTGCTAGAACACCCCATGGAACTGAAAGTATTTGTTATACCAATGCAGCCCACTAGAGGTCAAGTTTTATCAGCAGTTTAAAATATATTTAGTAATAAAGGGCAAAATTTAGGTTATCGTCTTCTTATATATTACTAGAATCACCTGGGTTGCCACATGTATCACAAAGTGACCGTCCTTTAGAACTTCTGGTTAGAACAAAAAAGCTCATAATATGATGGTTGGCTTACAGAGATACAAACCAAATTTAATAGTTGTTCCCATAATCCATTAATTAGATGGATCGGATTATTAGATTTTAGTAGTTTTCCTTAATAGAATACCATGGTATGAAGATTATTAGCTCAGTTTATATAATGCTTAAAAACAGTGAAAATGGCAAGCTGAACTAGGAACAAAACCTCAAGACTTCATACCAGTCTCCTATACTAAAAATATGACACAACTTTAATGCAAAGAGATTGATAACTTTTGCATCCCCTTGCATCTGTGTAAGAGACACTTGGTACCACACATCTGATCATACAGCAGGACTACATCAGAATGGTATAAAACAAAACAGATCTAGGTGGTTAGCATATTTATAAATATAGGGGGGGTTATAGATATGTGTATATATATATAGATATTTAAAAAAAATTACCACCTTCATAAAAATGGAAAAACTCCATGTGTCATCAGAAATCCTATAATAGCACATTGTGAATGCAGAAAGAATGCCTTGGGTTAGAACAGTTTCCAAACATTTGATTTTGTGAATTTGTGATGTCCAAATACAAATAAAAGATATTTCATGAATGCCTACCCTCTCTGCAGTAGCAAGGCTCAGTGTAATAGAGCTGTCCGTCTGCTTTGTAAAGCTCCAATTTAAACTTAATTTACCTATCTCCCACATCATTCTTTCATCCACTTGGAGACATAGAAATGTTTGCAATCACAGCCTTCTGACTGCTAAACAGTTTCTTGGCACATAGGTAGCCTGTAACTTAAAGCAGCTTTCCAGCAGAAAGCCACTTACAATTTTACAGGAAATTATATCAGCTAAGATGATGTCCCCAAGACCAGGGTAAAAGAAAAAAAAAAAAGTGTAGTGAAAAACTGTGTTTGCCTGCCTAGTTCTGTGAGGAACCACATTAAAAAAAAAAAGGGCACTTTTTGGCTTCCACTTCTGTACAGGAAGAAGACCCTTAATGACTAGGCTGCATTGCTTCTGCAGTTACCCTCTGAATGCTTCAAACTAAGTTGCAAGTTGTATGTTGTATTTCCAGGACTACCATGAAGAGTTCCAGAACTAGTGTCAGCCTACACATCACTGTGTATAACCCACAGCCACTGTATTAAACTGCTTTCACCTAGTCTTCTGCTTCACTAGCTCCACATGCTTAACTCATTTCTTCCGTTGTGTCTTCACATTATGTAATATAAGAAGCTGTGTTCCCAAAATGCTCAGAATTGTTTTACTAGATCTCACCTCCTCAACCATGTGCTTGACTTTCTTCTGTTGGCAGTGGACCATATCATCCAGATGTTTGATTCGCTCTCTTAGGCTAGCTGCTACCTCCTCCAAATGCTGTGACCTAGCAAAACATGGAAGAATGAAACATGTCAGTAGGGAACTACGCAGCGTGAGCAAAACAACAGTCCTGACAATCACAAACCCCACAAATGAATCAGACTAGGTCAAGAGGTAGGGCAAGTCAAATTCTACTGACAGATGTCAGTTTGTCCAAAGGACATTGTAATGGCAGTCTTCTAGTCAAAGTGTCTGTCTCCACCCAAGTTAACTCACCTTTGTCTGGCATGCTGGCATGCTTACTCAGAGCCTCAAGTGCTGACAATTAAACAATGTGACAAAGCTCATCTCTGTTTTGCCTTGAAGTGAAAGGCAGACACCTAGATCTTTATCATCAGAAAGGCACATTTATCCTGACTTATTACCACCTGCAAACCTTTAGAAATATATACTAAATATAAGCCAGGAAGCACATCTGCTGGTGTCCTTGAAAAGAAAAGCTCTCCTACGACAGGGAAGCCTTGAGTCAAGGATTTGGCATAGTTGCCAACAGTAGCAGAATGCTAACTGGAGTAATATTCAACAGTCAGCAGGAATTGTTGTGGATGTTTTAAGTTCAGACAGACTCTGCATTTCTTAAATCTGTTTAACACAGAAATGGAACACCCACAGAACTCCTGCCACAAGTTGGTTTGACAGCTTGCCAGAATGGTACATTAGCCGTGGGAGCCCTCCACTTTCACCTGCATGTACAGTTCTTGAAATTCTTCAAAAAAAGCAACTGCTTCCTTACAAAATAAACTTCTGTACTCCCAGACAGAATTTGAGAATTTGGGAAGTGGAGAAGGAGAATCAAAAACAAAAAGGCTTTTTTCATATTGGTCTGCACACAGCAGAAGAAACTGTTGAGCTGCAAATAGAACCACCAGGCAAAGCAGCAGATGGCAAACTGTATGACATGATACCAATGAATGACTGAATTGTAAGCTGTTTCCCCCCAGAAAGACACCCTATTAACAGTGAAGTACAGAACTTTGACGAGGACTCAAAAAAATCAAGGCATTGCTGCAGGTTTTTCAATCCTGCATATTAAGGTCTCGCAAAACTACAATTAAGATTTTGATTGCAATTGTGACACAGATTTGGTCTCGCACTGAAAGATTCAGAATTTTAAGTACTGAGAGCGATGGAACTAAGGTTCTTCCTCAGGTGGAACTCAAGTGTCCGGTCAGGTACAGACAGGTAAAGAGAACTTAAGAACAGACTGCAGCCTCTGAACACAGACTGCTTGCTTGCACTGCATAGATTGCCACTGTGTACTTGCTCGGACTGCACATGTTCCTGTCTGAACATTGCCTTTACCCTTTCTACTGCAGCATGACTTTTCACGCTGAGCGGTCAGGGCAGGCTTCACTGAAGTGAGGAAAGCATCTGTTATCCAGAGGTAAAGGAAGAAAGCAATCATTTTTCATCTCCATATTTTATGTTGACATCTGTTCACTTTAAATTATTATTTTAACAGGCTGCTGTGAAAAGCCATTATTACCCTGAAACTGGATAACCTGGTCACAGATCAATACAACTAGGCAATGAGATGCTCTCAGTAGGGACTTCCTTTTATGCTTCCTACAGGACAGCAGGATGCCAAAACCTTAAAACCAAATTTCTGGGTGCCACAGAAATACAAGTAATAATCAACTATAATTATTCAGTCTCTACTTGTAATTCATCTTTACCCACTCAAGTAGTGTCATATAAACCTTTGAGTGGCAGATGTAATTTTCAGTTATGCTATTTCAGTGCCAGATAGATTTCTCTTGAAACTTTGCCTCTGCTTTTGCTTCAAGCTTCCTTTTGCCTGGTCATGGTGCTCTGTCAGCCTCAAAGAAGCAGTAATGGATGTTGATGCTGCCTGTGGGCAGAAACAGCACATCCAGGTACCACCACACTACTAGATCTTTCTTCTAAGCCTCATGCTTTAGAGAACAACTATTTACAGAGGTCCCACTGCCAATAACATCATCCTCACTTTCCCCAAATAACTTCATAGCTTATTTCTGCACTGTGATGCTACACGACAGTTTTCTTCCACACCTTCCTTTTGCTCATGTGCAAATGTTAATGTGTAGACCTGCCCCTCTAAGCCTCAGACACATTCCCCACTTTCCCTCTTTTATACAAAAAAGTACCTCTGGTAGTTACAAGCAAAACTCTTGCTCTCTTCATTTCAAAGAGGATGTCCTACAGCTTAATACAAGATACAGAATGTCTTTTCTTTTAAAACTGTGTTGAGCCATCAAGAAGGAGGTAATGAAAGCATTCATAGTCGGGATCATACTGTGCTGAATTTGGAAATGCAGATTTAAGAAAAATGCAATCCACAAATATGTCACCACTTGTTCCATCTAAAATGTACTCTGCCTGATTGCAAACAATTTTTCAAGAAATGAAAAGTGGGTTTTGTTGGCAAAAATTAATCCTCTTGATATTTTATACGTAAATAAGCTTACATTCAGATGGACAATCCCTTCCAGACTGCTGTTTTAAAGTTAGAAAAAGTAAAATTCAGGTGTCTTCAAAAGCAAACTTACCCCTAAAATTTCCTAGAAATACTGGAAGTACCACAGACGAGACATATCTCACCTTTCGCTGTCAGAGTTGTCTTCAGATTTTGCTCCAGATATTTGTATTTCATGTAGTTCAAGTTGTTTTTGCAGCTGGTGACGTTCCTAAACAAGAAAAATTATCCATCAGTTCTCCATGTGTCAAAATGTAAAGGCTTCAGAAAGCATATTTCATTGCAATTCAAAAGATCATTTGTGAAATTAAAATAGAAACTGATTAAACAAAATTCATGCATTTCCTATAGCCCAGGAACACAGAATGCATAATAATAAAATCAAATTCTTAGCTCTGCATGGAAATAAGGTCAGAGTTTTCAATTTCTTATTTGAAGAAGTAAGGTTGCGCTTGCAACTGAATTTTTTTAAATAAAAAGATAAGTCATCATAATCTTTAACTACATAAATGTCAAATTTTCCATGCTATCCCTCCAAAACCACCCTTAATCCAAAGCTGAGATAAATCTCTGTTTTCTTTCCCAAAATATTCCTGTGTATTTTCAGGTGTCCATCAGCACAGTGCTCATGAAGATCTAGGAGGACTTTTTTTTCCAGTAGTGCTACCATTGTCATAAGTAGTAGATGTCTCAAAGCATTTCTGCTTTCAGAGCTTTAAAAGTAAATTGTCAAAAAAACTGCTCTCAATTACAATTTGGTAGGGAATATTTAACCAGGGAAAAGAGTAATTAAAAGTTTTTTAATGCTAGCAGAAAGGAAGAACCTAAACTTTGGATTAAAAGGCAGTAAAACATGATTAGTTTTTTTTCTTTTTCTCTCAAAATATTCTGAGCCATAATCTAAATAAGATAGGTATCTGCACAGAAAAATTAGTGGCTGCTACATACCCACAAAAAACCCTCAAAACACTTCAGTCTGAAACTTTCAGTTTAGCATTTCATCTACATGTGGAGAAATTTGGAGATACAATTCTGTTCAGGACTATAAACAGCTAAATAGTAAGCTCTATTCCTAACTAACACACATTTTAATGGACCTACCAGCAGCATTCATAAGAGACTTTGGATCATTTATGATTACTATTTCATTAGGCTTAGGAGACCTCACTGAAGGAAGACTGAATAGCCTTTTTAAACTCTTCCTTTAAAATAATGGTTAATTTACTAAATAAATTTTGACACCTTGGGTCACCTTTGACACCTCTGATTGTAAAGCCCACTAGAGAGACAAAAGCAGCACTGAATGACAGTGTTTCTGTGGTAGTCCAGGTCCATTTACTTAAATGGATACGGTAACAAAATAAGATGCAAACAGCAATGGTCTGTCACTGAGCAGCAGACAAAAAGAAATAAAAAAAAAATAAAGTTTCCTCCATGCACTTCTGCATTTCCTTTAAAGGCAGCAATCAACTCTCATACCTCTCCCATGCGTTCAATCAGCCGGTCCAGCTCACCGATTCTCTGGTCTTTTTCCTGTATGCTTGTTTCTGTAATCTGCATTTTCTTATTTGCCTCTTCAATAGCCTTCAGAAGCCGATTTGTTTCCTCCTTCAAATAAGAGGATTTACAGTAACATTAACATCCAATTTATTAATGAGGAATTATTTTTTTTAGGCTATAGAGCCATGCTAATAGCTTTTTAACAGAGCTCAAAGCTTTTCACTACCCCTGCCCAGAAGTTTGGGTGAGCTATAACCCTAAATTTGAACTGTAGAGAGCAAAAATTTGGGACTCCTTGAAGTACATGGTTATTTGTAAAGCATCATTATGACAAATCTGAAAAACAACTTTTACCCATTTCTTAGATATTTGATTTCCGTTCTGAGGATGCCGTGAATTAACAGCATAAATTAAAAAAATGCTGTTGCAGAAGACAGTACTTCAAACACCGAAGTTTGCCATGTCCAGCTTTGTACTTTTCTCACATATAAAACAATATGAATAGAAAGACACTGAGGAATCTGCCTTCCATCTCAGTCATTATCTACCTTTATCAGTTAGAAAAATGCAGTGACTCATAGAAAGGTTTTACTTGGGAGTGGAGGGAAACCAGGGGACAGGAAGAGTTCTTGCTCCAGTAGCATTCAGTGAAGTTGTTCCTCCTCCCCTTCTTAAACTATCACTAAAACTGGACATTATCTTTTCCCTTTTTTTAGGGAATCAGAAGTTAAAAAACCCAATGTACACCATTTCAAATTTTGTACTTTACATTTTCATTACTATTACTGTGTTTGAACACATTCTTTTCTCAGCCCAAAAAAGCTTGGGAAGCTTAGTAACTGTGGCATGACTAGGCACAGAGACAGGAGAGAAGGAACACATGCCAACTCCAGAGAGTTAGGTGACTAAGAAACGACACCCAAGGTAAGCACCACTCTTACAGACGGGCTGTACGTACTAGGAGGATTTCTTTCTCTGCTTTATGTTTTTGTTCCTCTTCTCGCATTTTTTCCTCATACTGACTATACAGTTTTCTTGTCATCTCTCTCATGACTTCAGCATTGGCTTCCTGTGACGATTCCACCTATGAGAGGGGAAAGTTGACCCATCAGTCAGTACAGCGCTGTTGGCAGCAGGAGAAAGAGTTCACATGATGTTAGAATAGCACTTTGAACTTCAGCTCCACCCTGTTATAAATTTGACAGATTTTCATTTGCATCAGGACCTTTCACAACATTCTGCCAATATAAAAGTAATCCGAACTTGCAGAAGTTACCACTTCATCAAGTTTCATGTTGTCTGAATTTAAGTGGTCATTACTTATCCAAGCCCAGGCTATGTCTCTTTACTGACCCCTCCTTAACAGCCTCCAAGTCCCTCAGTTTCTTTCCCAATGAAAAGATACTGTCTCTCCCAATTTTCCTCTTTACTGACCCCTCCTTAACACCCTCCCTCAGTTTCTTTCCCAATGAAAAGATACTGTCTCTCCCAATTTTTCAGGAGCATAGATTAGAAATGGGTCTAGAGTCTAGACCATCTCTAAATGACCATGAACACTCAAAGCAATGATTACTTTAAGCAGGACCTAATATGTGTTGTTAACTAGGTAACACAGCTGTATCCTCCCTCCTCTCTCTCGCTTTTTCACATACTGCTCTTTGTGTAGGCACAAGAACTGAGGTAGCCTGGAGTAAAACACATCAGGGAACAATCAGACTTAAAATTAAAATACTCAGGGGTGTGGAAGGGTTAATTTTAAACTACGGGAACAGAAACTTTACTACTGCTACAGGGAAAAGGGCAGGAATTGTAATTCAGAGACAGGATTTCCCCCTTCTGTTGGCTCAAAACACTGACTGAACCACACCTTCAGTGATTAAACATCAGATAAAACACTGACAGGTTAAACCATCTACTCCATAAACCACAATAAAAGCAAAGTAGAATAGCTAGTCCAGGACTTACTTCTCTCACTAGAGTTGCTATAAATCAGACAAGGTTATAGTGAAATGCTGCGGGTGCTAAAAAAGGTAAGGAAGAGAAGGAATATCCTGTCATTTGGAAGAAGAATAAAGCGCTCCCTGCTGACCACTACAGTTTACAGGGCTACAAAATACCTGGTTCTGATGATAAAGGGTTCGGGGTTTGGGTTTTGTTTTTATTTCAAGGACTGAAAGATTTAATAAACCCTTGTGTTTATCTTGCATGGTGGGAACAAGCTGTTTTACTACCCTGCAGGAGAACGACCGTGTATTTCATCCTTTGAAAAGGGACTGAGCCCTGAAGGACTCTGCTTGTGCTGCAGTTGCCCCTTTGGCACCTCACCAAGACCAACACTGGGGCAGAGACAGTAACCTGCACTTTGTGAGAGAGAGCAGAGTTAATTTAAGCTTCAGTACAACATGAAACCCTCCACATCTCAAGAAGCCTGAAAGAATCGTATCATTCAGACAAAGCCAACAATCAAAACCCAGAATCCCTAAGACACACTGAACTGGAATATGATCTCTGGCACTGCTTCTCCACCATTCCTTTGCTTACAGCTTGAGCAAAAAGGAGAGTAAAAACAAGCATTAAAAGGTAGACACATCGGGGCATCTATTCTAGTACTCTTAAGCAATGTCTCCAAACCTCAGTTATTGTTATGATTGTATGAATAAACTGAACCTACTTAATAAGCTACATGGGCGTGCTCTCCTACCCAGAAAATAAATCATGGCACATGGTAGTTACTGCTTTTCAATGGCTAACCTCCCAGATTCCACACCATCCGCTTACATTCACCCCTGGAATTAAATCCCACATGTCTTGGCATCTTTGATACACGATTTTATGTTTAACTTTCAAAGACAGCAATGAGGTATTGTATCCACTAACTTTGTAATAAAACTACAACTTTGAGGGCAAAATTTGAACTTTTTACTCATTAAAGCAGGGCATGTATTCTGCAGACCTTGACATGCTTGAAGATAAAACAAATCGTTAAGTATTCAGTTGAACTGGGACTTTAATTGTGGTTCTCTGTCCTTAAAAGCAGGCATACCTTTCCCTGACTTGTTGGTGCACGTCCTTAATATTTTAGTAAAGTCCAAATTTCTGTTTTGAAATCTTAGTTGCATCAGCTTTGCTTTCGAAATTGTTTTTTCCCTCTTTTTATGTCCTCCTCACAATAGCAGCTACAAAATACAGCTATTTTTACAACCTGTAAAGCTTCACTATAAGAGGAAACTGGAACATGAATTTAAAATTGAAATACATGTTATTGTTTTCTCTTTTAAGCATTCATCATTAAGCATGAATGCAAGTTAGTAGAGACCCAAAATGAAAAATCTTCTCTGACAAAATTAAGCATGAATAAACCAGCAGTCACCCTTATTTCACAGTGACAAATTCTAATCCAGTACTGTATCTAAATTAGTCTACTTTGAGCAATTTAAAGAGAGACAAAGGTTTCCAGAAGAGGGTTTGTTGTTTTGTTGTTGTTGGTTTTGTTTGTTTAAATTAAAGGAATGCATCTGGCAGATGAAGGAAGAAAACAGTCAAGCTTTCTGGCACATAAAGCCTTCCAGTTTGCATTTTATTCCCTTGCATTTCTCTGAAAGAAATAGCTTAATTCCCTTTCCAAGACACTTGCTGTATCTGGTGACCATATGCTCATAAAACTTAACAGATTACCTATTAAAAATTGTGCAATACCAAATAAACAAATTCAACATCAAGAAATTCCTATCGCACTGTGCAGAGTCATAATATTTCTTTACTAACAGCAATGGACACTAATAACTATTTAATGGTTTGAATTGTTCACCTGCCAACATCCCTGAATCCCAAGTTATGGAAAGACTGACTGCTGCCAGCTGAGATCCTTTGTCATTGAAATGGTTCTGATTCACAGGAATATGTCAGCTCTAGCAAATGATGGAGGCATGAAGAATCCTTTACAAATAAGGCCAAGGAATTCATTTAACATACCTCTAATGCCCTTACTGTGCAACATTTTTAGGGGAGTTTATATACCGCACCTTTAATTTCAGTAACTGATTTTCAATTTGTGCTGTTTCCAGTTGCTTCTGCTTCTCTCTCAGCTTTTCCATAGATTGCTCATGTGTATGTTTTAAATTCCTTATTTGTTCCCTTATATCAGTGTTCTCCAATGTAACATCCACTAGAGTTTTCTGGAAGAAAAAGACAACTCACATATTAAAAATCACAAATAATTTGGTAAACTAATATAATCAAGAGATTATGGAACAGACAGATAAATGCAGTGTGAACAGTTTTGCAATTTTTAACATTTAGAATTATGGCTTTTGTTGTACTTAGTTTGCTAGAAGGCATTTCCATGAGGAACATGCTCACTGAAATCAAGTCCTGCACCAATATTAACAAAAAACCAAAAAAATACCCACACCAAAAAAAAAATAAATAAGGGAACATGGATAGATTCCAGTATGAATGCTACTACCAGCAATCTTCCTTTCTTCTCCCCAAGGGACATGCTATACATATTAAATGCACTAGACTGAGAAACACTGTAACACACAAGAAAGCAGGAATATTAAGTTGTTCAGCTTGGATATGTGGGAATTTGGAAGTCTTTAAAACAGAAAATTCATTCCCAGCTTCTCTGTCCCCCTATATTTCACAGGTATGTAAAGTCTCACAAGTGTTTAGCATCCAATCATGCCACTTCCATTTCTGTTAACCAGTGAAGGTAGAAATAAGTCAGGAGATGTACCATTTTGCACAATACAGATCACATTTTCACCTTAGATATTTTGTAGAGACATGACTAGTGGCATTAGTCTGCTGCTGATCAATATCTCTTTGTTGTATGCTATTTTTAACAGTTTTTTTTTTTAAACATAGGTGTCAGAATTTATTTTTTTTCTTCGTTTCCTAAATTAGCTTAGATAACCCAAGACAGTACTTTATGGCCTTGTTTAGTGAAGAATCTGTGTTTTCCATCCATGTTTAATGTATGCTTTTTAATCCATGTCAGAAAAGGAAGATGTCAGCTGTCAAACAGCTATTAAAATGTACCTGCAAGTCTATTGATGCTGATGTCAAGGAGCTGTTCATTTCACTAAAGCTATCTAAGGCTGCAGCCTGCACTCGCACATGATTCTCTAAGGATTCCTGATGAGCATTTGTCACCTGAGCAGGAAAAAAAAAAAAAAAAAAAAAAAAAGGTTTTATGTAGAATAATGATCAAGTTTACCTATGCTTTCAAAGTTTCAAAGGGAGCTACAGAAGAGAAAGACCCCATGGTTAATTTTCACAGTACTAGGATGCTTAAAATATACAGGCCTCAAACCGTATTCTTGCACCTTAGAAACAAGCAAACAAAACTGAGAATCCAAATATGCTAACAGATATAAGGCACAAGTACTATGTTTATTGCTAGTCTGTAATCACTGTAAAAGCTGTTCTTTTGGACAGGACAAGAGGACATTTGGCAGATGTCTATTCAGAAAGTTCATATACAGAGTGGGCAGATAGTAAGAAGTCACAGAGTGAGAAGCAGAAGAATGTAAGAAATGAGAAAATCTAGAAAGGTTTGGGCGAACTGTAAAATAGCCTTAATTAAGAAGGAACTGACTAATAAAGCATGTGAAGAAAAGCAACATCAAGACGACTTAAGGATTAAACAATATGAAACAGGTAGGAGATGCCAGCAGAGAACTCTGTTGTGTGAAAATTTATTATCTTCTATTATGTACAGACATGTACTTAAGAACTGGCGGGAAATAAAAAGGCACAAAATCACATCATTTAGGAAAAGACCAAAATCCAAACATTGTAAATAATTATGTACCATCCAATAATAAAGAGAAAAAAATGTTACTAATGAAGGCCGGCTCACATTCTTAGACGGACCAGATTTGTTTCTTGATAAATACAGAAGAACACTAGGGACTGATACGGAGAACAATGAGTGTTTAGTTATCAAGCCACACACAGATTAGGTCAGCATTGGGAACAGAAGCCAAGTAGTTAGTGTTAACCCTATATAAACATGTGCTCACATGAAAACAAGCAAACAAAAGCAGAAATGCTTTGGATGGATTAAAAAAGTTACAAGATAAGAACTTGTGTGAAGAAGCATTACTGCCCAGGGCAGGATACTGGAAGTAAAAATTTCAAACAAACTTTATGAACCAGAAGTAGTCCTGGAAACTGATGGGGGGGAAAAAGCACAGTGATTCAAAGCTGAAGCAAGGAGTATATAAAGGATTTTAAACAGGATCCCCAAATAGCATGAAAGATGGCAGTCACGTAAAACCAAAACCCAAACAAACAAAAAAGCATGTATTAGGTACTGGTGCTTTCTTTCAGGCACTCCAAAGTATTAACAACGGGGGGAGGGCATCTCATAATGTGCCATTTATATCAGAAGGAGCACTTCATAAACCACTAATTTGCTCCAGAACTAGATATTCTGTTAGAGCTGGTCAGAAACCCTTAATTGAGAGATGTTCAGGTTCAGGCAGGATTTCTACTGGCCTGACAGAAGATCTGGAAGTGCAGGCTGTAACCGTTGCTATTCAATAGGGATCAGCAGCACAGAGGACAAAGCTGCATCTGAATCAGCATTTGCCTTCATGCATACTAGGTGGGAGACTCACCTTGTTAAACAATCTTAAAGATGCCAACACAGTTTACAGAAATTCAGTTTTCTCTCCCTCCTCGTCTCAAGTTAAGGTGATTTTTGTTGGTTTTGGTTTTTGGGGGTTTTTTTGAGACTAGTCGCCACAGAATAAAAGTGCCAGTTTAACAACAAAAGGAACTGGCAGCCTCCAGATGAGGATGGCAGAAGGGCACAAGTCAGGGTCCCAGTCCCTTGAAGTCAGAATATGTTTAATTGCCAAAGCTTCATCTGAACCAGGGCTGTGAAAATCAATGTTGAATATAAAATACACAGCAAGTTTTCAGGGAGATTTTTTGGACCAGACAAGTCAGCAGTTCAATGTGAAGGATGCTTCTACAGACTACAGCAACATTTATTGCTAAAGCAGCGTTGTCAGAAGAAGGAGAGGTCATTGAATGACCATCAAAAGGTTCAATTAAGAACTAAAAGGTAAGGAATTTTTAGACCTGTCAAGCACTTTCACACTAAAGAATATTGCTACTTCTTTTACTATGATGTTTAAACAATAAATAAAACAATTTAAAACAATAAACCAGAGTAAAACAGTAATATCTGTTGAAATGTCAGCAACTAAGTCGCATGTTACTCCTAATTATGTAAGTTATTTATTCAAGTCACCTGGTATCTTACTGGTACAGACATCTCCAGTAATTACCAATACACACAGACAATGCTATAAAGATCATTCTTTTATTTCCAATGAGGCACCAATTAGTAATTTCATATGCAAAAGCATCCCTGTCCTACTTTACTCTCCTGGAGGGAAACATAAGCGAATAAATAAATAAATAAAAGTATAGATGTCACATAAAACAATGAACTGGAGTGGTTTGAAAATTATTTCTGTTCTGCTGAAGCCAAAAAAAGTTTCTAGATAACACTGGGACAGTTATTCTCATATGCTTTCCCTACAAATGAACATATACTTACTTTCAGTTCATTCGTAAGCTGCTGTATTTTTCGTTTCATTTCATCATATTCACCATACATTTTCTTTCTAACTTTTTCCAGAGTTGCTCTTACCTGGTGTCAGAAAAAAAATCAAATGCCTTTATCAAACTTACTGATGATACTGTTTATACCAGAATACGATTTTTTTTCTATGTCCTTCATTGCTACTTTCAGTAATTTCCATTAGTAATATACATTTTTCATCAACAGCAATTTATTCTTAAGAACAAGACAAAAACTTGAGTTACAAGACTTCTCTACATTGAGACGATATGATTAAACATCTGAGTAATTCTAAATGTCTCTGTACACACTTAGACACCTGTAAATTAATTTCAATTAAATTATCCATAACTCATTCTAACCTAATTACTAAAGGAATTTAAATTAATTTGACCATATAATGTTTTCTTTCTGAAAAAGACGCATCCACACATGATTTAATACACCTTCATACTTTTTGAAGTGGTTAATCAGTTTTTCCTGAGTATGTCTTGAAGATAATCCCTTTAAATTTGGACTTCTAGGCTCATATCTAGCTAAACAATTTACCAATGCAATTTCAAATGTGAAGAACAGAGAACTCGATTTTATTTAAGAACTACGGATGTAAATTATACCTTGCCTTTTCTATAAAAAAGCAACAAACAAAAACCCCACCAACAACCCCAAAAGAAACAAAGAGCTTGCTGGAAGCCAGTTTGGGTTTACATGCCATTGCAATCATGCACAGACCCAATCTTCTCAAGATCACACATTGTAAACACTAGTTAAATGTTTGCCTACAGTCTACATTCCATCTATGTAATTCAAACTCCTTCCCCCCCCTTCACCTCTATCAGGCACAGCCTGACAGCAGATAATCTGGGGCAGCAAGCTCGCCTCCTCTCTGCACAGCTTGGGGAAGGAGCGGGTGGAAAACATTTGTAGGGCCTTATACCAGAGGGGATGTTTCTAGTGGCTCTGCTGCGCTCCCGCTCCCTCCCAGAAAGAGGGACACTGGCCCCACATCTATGCACGGGGTAGGCACAAGCCTACCCCAAACTATGTACTCCCTTTAGGATGAGAAACATGGAAGAAAGCTGTCTCCTGCGGTGCAGCTCAGGAAAGCAGACCTCACCCTGTCCCTACCCACACGCACACACATTCCCTCTTGGAAAGTGCAAATTTGACTGGGATACAGAGGAACTGTCAGCAGTTCTGACGTGGCCTGTCATTTTTGGTCTATTTAAGTCAGCATGTACGTGACACAAGGTGAGGACTCTTGTTAAACTGAGCACTCTGCTTTTAAAGACAAACTTATCTGGCAGAGCAAAGTTCACAAACTAGCACAGCTGAACACAGCCTGCAGAAGATGGGAGAGCAAGGGCCAGTAAGTACGTCTCTTCCCATGTCTCTCCCACTTTTTCCTGAAAGGATCAGTACCCTGAATGCACGTACAAGACATGCAGGCCCCCCATGCACAAGCTGGCTGTGGTCACTGAAGGGCAGTGAGATGCTCCCGGTCCAGGCAATCTGTCCCAGGCACCAGAAAGCAAGAAGCTGGGAGAGCTGGACCCGCCGGGTGCCAACTCGCCCATCCCGACACCTCTCCAACCGGGCAGACAAACTACCCAGGTGGGACACCAGCAGCTCATGTCCCTCCCCTGCACCCTGTACTGACATACCCCAACGGGGTGCAGGAAGGGCAGAGCAGGGAATGCTGCGAGCTAACAAAGGGTGAGTAATAAAGCAAGTGCTGATAGCCAGAGACCAGACAGATGTGAACAGCACACGTAATTACAGTCTCTTACACTGCTGGCTCGACTCAGCGTCCCTCCCTGTTACATCAACTCAGTTTGCACTTGAATCAGTGTAACACGATAACCATTGACCAATAGCTTCCTGGGTGGTGAAGGTGGATGGAAGGAGAAGGTCAAATTAGTCGCCCTGGGTTAATTAGGGCATTATTGCCAAAGTCTGAGAGCCAAGGACTGACAGGCAAAGAGATGCTGAGTTTCAAGCACAGAAATGTTGTGGGTTTTTTTTTTTTTTCCAGGAGAGCTTCTGCAAATTATGATAAATGAGCATGGACAGAGAAAGTAGTACAAAGTCATTCTTATTAGGCTGACTATTTTAAGCCTGCCCCAAAATATACCCAGGTGATTTTTACTATGTCACCTAATTTAGGAGCCTTTTGAAAACTGGGGGGTTTGGGGACCTGGGAAGCAGAGGAAGAAAGGAGAGATATCATCCTTTCAGGTGTTAGCTTGCATAGTTTCTTCCATATCACATTTGAAATTACAAAGGCTTCAGGACAGGAACGCCAAGATCTGTTTGGAATTTTGCTTGCCCAGCTGTCGTGCAGACAGCAAGCATTAACAAGTATCACTTGGCACAGAGGCCTTGGGTCTGGACTGCACAGTTCCCAGGTATACAGCGTGCTTTTTTCCAACTTGAATACTAACAAGGCAAGCTTTTAGCTTCCGAGTATGTTCCCAACTCAAATTCAGTGTTGGCCTAGACCTCAGTCATCCCACATACACTGACAGCTCTACATAAATATATGGAAAGGATATCTGACAAATTTTGAAGCTGAAAGCATAACTCACTTCTTTAATGTAATTCATCTCCTCTTTCAGCTGATCAGCTGACCAGCCGTAAACCACCATCTCTCTCTTATGGTTGTTGTCAGTTCGGTGCACAACGCCATACACCATCCCATGGGACAGCTTCCCTGGAGACATGCCATTTGGTACATGGTTGCAATCATGCACAGACCCAATCTTCTCAAGATCACACATTGTAAACACTAGTTAAATGTTTGCCTACAGTCTACATTCCATCTATGTAATTCAAACTCCTTCCCCCCCCTTCACCTCTATCAGGCACAGCCTGACAGCAGATAATCTGGGGCAGCAAGCTCGCCTCCTCTCTGCACAGCTTGGGGAAGGAGCGGGTGGAAAACATTTGTAGGGCCTTATACCAGAGGGGATGTTTCTAGTGGCTCTGCTGCGCTCCCGCTCCCTCCCAGAAAGAGGGACACTGGCCCCACATCTATGCACGGGGTAGGCACAAGCCTACCCCAAACTATGTACTCCCTTTAGGATGAGAAACATGGAAGAAAGCTGTCTCCTGCGGTGCAGCTCAGGAAAGCAGACCTCACCCTGTCCCTACCCACACGCACACACATTCCCTCTTGGAAAGTGCAAATTTGACTGGGATACAGAGGAACTGTCAGCAGTTCTGACGTGGCCTGTCATTTTTGGTCTATTTAAGTCAGCATGTACGTGACACAAGGTGAGGACTCTTGTTAAACTGAGCACTCTGCTTTTAAAGACAAACTTATCTGGCAGAGCAAAGTTCACAAACTAGCACAGCTGAACACAGCCTGCAGAAGATGGGAGAGCAAGGGCCAGTAAGTACGTCTCTTCCCATGTCTCTCCCACTTTTTCCTGAAAGGATCAGTACCCTGAATGCACGTACAAGACATGCAGGCCCCCCATGCACAAGCTGGCTGTGGTCACTGAAGGGCAGTGAGATGCTCCCGGTCCAGGCAATCTGTCCCAGGCACCAGAAAGCAAGAAGCTGGGAGAGCTGGACCCGCCGGGTGCCAACTCGCCCATCCCGACACCTCTCCAGCCGGGCAAACTACCCAGGTGGGACACCAGCAGCTCATGTCCCTCCCCTGCACCCTGTACTGACATACCCCAACGGGGTGCAGGAAGGGCAGAGCAGGGAATGCTGCGAGCTAACAAAGGGTGAGTAATAAAGCAAGTGCTGATAGCCAGAGACCAGACAGATGTGAACAGCACACGTAATTACAGTCTCTTACACTGCTGGCTCGACTCAGCGTCCCTCCCTGTTACATCAACTCAGTTTGCACTTGAATCAGTGTAACACGATAACCATTGACCAATAGCTTCCTGGGTGGTGAAGGTGGATGGAAGGAGAAGGTCAAATTAGTCGCCCTGGGTTAATTAGGGCATTATTGCCAAAGTCTGAGAGCCAAGGACTGACAGGCAAAGAGATGCTGAGTTTCAAGCACAGAAATGTTGTGGGTTTTTTTTTTTCTTCCAGGAGAGCTTCTGCAAATTATGATAAATGAGCATGGACAGAGAAAGTAGTACAAAGTCATTCTTATTAGGCTGACTATTTTAAGCCTGCCCCAAAATATACCCAGGTGATTTTTACTATGTCACCTAATTTAGGAGCCTTTTGAAAACTGGGGGGTTTGGGGACCTGGGAAGCAGAGGAAGAAAGGAGAGATATCATCCTTTCAGGTGTTAGCTTGCATAGTTTCTTCCATATCACATTTGAAATTACAAAGGCTTCAGGACAGGAACGCCAAGATCTGTTTGGAATTTTGCTTGCCCAGCTGTCGTGCAGACAGCAAGCATTAACAAGTATCACTTGGCACAGAGGCCTTGGGTCTGGACTGCACAGTTCCCAGGTATACAGCGTGCTTTTTTCCAACTTGAATACTAACAAGGCAAGCTTTTAGCTTCCGAGTATGTTCCCAACTCAAATTCAGTGTTGGCCTAGACCTCAGTCATCCCACATACACTGACAGCTCTACATAAATATATGGAAAGGATATCTGACAAATTTTGAAGCTGAAAGCATAACTCACTTCTTTAATGTAATTCATCTCCTCTTTCAGCTGATCAGCTGACCAGCCGTAAACCACCATCTCTCTCTTATGGTTGTTGTCAGTTCGGTGCACGACGCCATACACCATCCCATGGGACAGCTTCCCTGGAGACATGCCATTTGGTACATGGTAGAGCTCCTTATGGGTACAAAAAAAAATAAAAATCAAAGGTTATTTTTAAAATCAGTACTAGAATAAAAAAAATCCAAACAAAAATACAGTAACATAGGGGTAGGAGAGACAGCCAACTACAGTGAAACCAAAACCTAAGTACCTAAGAACACTAGTTCCCAATTGTTTGGGGGCCAAACTGTCAACCTTCATGTTTTGGGAAGATCAATGATCAGTTTATAATTGATAGAGATGCTAGAGATGTCTAATTTCCACTGGCTTTAATGGAAAGGTACAGCTAGAGCCAACGGATTGGATTTGCATAAGGAGAGGTAGAAGCATGTGACAGAATAAGTCATCCTGGCTTATCTTCATTCACCAACATACTATGCCACTTTTCTGCATTCTTCCAGAGCACTGTCAGCTCTCAGTTTCCTTTAAACTTCTTGCAACCACGGAATCACCCCTCACTGTCCAAACTCCCTGCTGCAAGAAATATAAAAATTCACAAGTTTAACTTTAGAAAGTTCTCGGAAGAAACAGAAATTAAAACATTTTAGGCAAGAACCTTAAACTGAGCTCAGAAAACATCTGTTTATCTTGCAGATAAAGACTCCTCTTACTCATCAATACACTTAGTAAGAAAAATATTAATGCAAACAGTAGGAATCATTTCCTTCTGCATGTAAATAAATGTCCACAAGGTCAGATGTATCCACCTGTCCGCTCACCCTGCCTCACTTCCACCCAGAGAAAGTGAAGCATTCACATGAAATGCCTCAGTCTCCAGAAGTACTAATTTCTCTTCTTGATTACAAAGAATTTAAACAACTAGCTTAGATGAAGACATCCACATCATGACTTTTTAAAAAGAAGGGAAAAAATATTCTTACCTAATTTCAAATATTTGCAAACTAGGAACCTAAAATTAGAGGTTATTTCTGAATAGAAAGTCAGAAAGACACAATCTTGGAAACATCGCTGTTACTGCTTAGCTTTGCACATTGTTTGTGAAAGGCCGGTGCTAGGGACAAATCAGGTATAGAAAGTTCAGCAAAATTATCTCTCTCACACTAGCTATGCTAGATACAACATTTCAAGACCAGGCGGGATGGGGCTTTGCACAACCTGGACTAGTTGGCGGTGTCCCTGCCCATGGCATGGCGGTTGGAACTAGATGGGCTTTAAGGTCCCTTCCAACCCAAACCATTCTCTGATATCAGAATACAGGTAAATTTGAGAATGTTTACTACATTGACTTTAGAATATGTTTGGTTTTGTTTTGTTGTTCAGTAATGACATTGTATGAAAACCAACAAAACTTTTGAGATTGTTTACTAAATCAAGAGTCTAAGCAGCATCTAAAATCTGTTTGACACCAAACAGAGACTGGAAGAGATGAGGATCAGCATCTTATATCCATCTGCAGCTGCATCCTAGAGAGTCGCCAGTCCCCAGCATGTCAGATGGCAACGATAGCATCAGCAATCTAAAGCAGCAGCACTTTCAGTTTTGAGCAGCCAAACTAACACAACTCTGCTGGCAACGTAAGAATAAACAGTTCTTCACTTAAGGGAAAAATAAACAGGAAAATCTACTTGCATTAAGAAGAATGTGTAAAGACAGACATTTGTTTTATATTGTGCCCCTCCCACATGGTACCGACAGATTTTCTCAACATTGTTAAGTCCTACACATTTTCCTTTACCGTATCATTAATAGCTTAACCATTTTGATGAAGCTGTGGGTGTGTGTATGCAGGGCTGGGAGAGGACAATCATAGAGCAGACATCTGATAAGAAATGTTTCAGGCCAAGAACAACAAAGCTATAAAGCATCATTTAAAAATAAACCTTAAAACCATTTAATGGAATAACATTGGGCAACCAGCCCTACGTATACATGATATAATTTTGCAGTTTGAAAGCATTATATGCAAAGCTTCATATCCCGATAATCAGAATTTTCATAACTATGTATTACTGGGGGTTTTGTTTTGCTGTTTGGATGCATGCAAACAAAATCCCACACCTGATTTTTTGAGACTAAAGAAAATACAGAAACTAGGTGGGGACACGACTCAAAACTTTCTTTGTGTTTGTTTGCTTCCAGGGTTGTACAGTTTCTTTGACAGCTTCGTCACAGCTCCTCCCCTGCATCTGGATAAAGGGATTACATACAAGTTTCCATCTTCCTGATAACAGAATGAATAATCACTTCGCTTGTTTAGTGGTTACCAAGGCACCAGACACAGAATTCATAAATCCATGCCCTTTACCCATGATCATTCATTTTTTATGAGGGGAACAGCTGAATACTAGCAAGTACCAAGATCCTTTGTGCCTCCAAAACATTAGCAGAATTGTTTAAAGTGCTCTTTGCAGAGTTCTGCATGAAAATTATGACCAAGTTCCTCATGTTTAGACTATTAAAACACATTCTAAGAAATGCTTTGAAGGAATTCCCCCTCCCTTAAGAAAGGCCTAGAAATTCAGACCAGTGGGTTTGCAGCTGGAGAATCACCATGGCACTTACATATTGAACAGACGAACAGACTTAAATTTACATCATAATAGGCAGTACATGCAGGATTAAGTACACACAAAGCTAGACTGGTTACTTGCCTCTTGCAACAATGCTAAAGTTGCCTGTTATCTTTATTTGCACAAGCCTCCCAAAATGCCTTTGTCACCTCTCTCTCAGATTAAAAGAATCTCCATCATCTGTTGAGTGTTCCAGTTCTACTGTGTGCTACTTCAAATACAGGATATTGCTTTTACCCCTTCCTTATTCCTCCTCCATATCACAATCCCCATCAAGCACCTGTTAAAATTTCAGTACAGTTCTTGCTTGATTTAAAGCTGCATGAACCAACAGCTATACAACTAACTGTACCACCAAAATGCATCACCAAGTATGCATCAAGTATACTTTGTTACTTTGTCTCCTCCCTTAAGCTACTTCCACCCATCTTTGTTTTTCTCTTTTCAGTGTTTTTTCCTTCTCTGCCTCATCCTCTGTTCTTCCTCTGTCATGTCCTGTGTCTCCCATGTTTCCTCTTCCACAGATCCTGGATTTTCCACATCCCCAAGGACTACAGAATGTTTTTTAAGTCAAACACTTTTTGTTGTTTTGCTCTATGTCCCACACATAATGACTCTCGGAACTCAGACGTTTTTCTGAGAAGGTCCTCACCAGTCTCCAGTGTGGTCTGCAGTGAGGCATCTCAGTGATGGTAACAGAGTAACTAAATACATGTAAGTATTTAGAAGCAAGTAAATACTGTAGAGCTACCCAGAAAAGTGCTTGAAGATGGAAGGTTCCATAAGATTAGTTAACCATTGCTGTTTAAGTTCAAAGTATCAGCCAGCTCCAGAGTACAGGGAAGTTCTCGATCCCCACCTTCCTGTGCACTCCCTGCACTGGAACAAGCACAGTTGTTGCCCCAGACTGTGCTCAAAATCCCCTCTGATGTGAGCCACTGATCTGAAATGGCAGATGTATCTCAAGCAATTTGTGAATACTTCTTTGTACCTATAGTCAAGTTATCCAACAGTCCAGGGGAACAGCAAGAACACATCATGTTGGTGCACATGAATACTACAGCAGCTTCCAGGAACGTGCTTTGTCTATGCTGCAACAACAGTCATGTTGCACTTGGTGTGATCACACAGCACATATTAAAGAAACACAGACCGTGTTTACTTAGTTAATAAATATTTAAAGCAGAAGCCTACACCCCAAGGTTGCAAAAGTCTTGATGATTGCCATGCATCCTGTTTATGTTTCTGTCCAAGGAAGTAGCACAAGTAGGATGAAAGAGGTGAAGCAGAGACACTACAAAAACCAACCCTAAATATGAGTTGTTAGCTGCTTTTTCTATCGCCAATGATTTTACTGGCATTATGTAAATAACACTGAGGAATGAGTTGCTTCCTAATCTATGCCTATCAGTTTTTGAAATGAAAGTCAGATGCCCCCATACTTTATACTTCCCCCCACCCCAAAACTTGGAGCAGAAGCCCAGAAGATGCATCTTATTTTGAGGGAAAAGGACATCTAATGTAATGATTAGCACAATTCTAGGGTTAGTATTCATATGGTCTTAAATTTGTGCTAAATCCTGATCTTCTGTTTACCTACACCATCTAAAAATTCTTTCAACCAGAACTATATCAGTTAAGTGAAGCTTTATCTCTTCTTCAACTGCCACATTCCAGAGGTTTCTGAAATATCCAGTGATCTTTTGCTTGTTCACTAATTATACAAAGAGTAAGAACATTCACACTGTTACTTAGATTACATATTTTCTGTTCAGTAAAATGACAAATTTATGATATTGACCTCAACAAAGAAAGTTACTGTGATCTGAAAAAAGGTAGCTATCTTTTTATGTTTTTTCATATTCCTCTACAGCCCATGAAACTCATGGTCCATTTATGGATGTTTCATGTATAAATAGTATTAAAATTGGGAAAATATGCCAAGACATAGACATGAGTGTTCTTAAATTCATAATGCTAAATAAGAAGCATCATTTAACACATTCCAACTTTTAAGCTCCTTGAAAAGTAGAATTTAGGTGCCTATCTCAAAAATCTATACACTACGAAAATAAGATACAACAAATACAGCAGTAACAACAGAAGTCAGTGGTATTCCTTCTGTTTTTCGTGTATTGCTGTTTTTAATGAAGGTGTCAATTAGTACACATCAAAAATCAAGCAATCAGCGCTGGAGAAACTGAGAAAGAGTAACACCAGCCACCTGTAGCAGGTGGACCACATTTGTTATGACACAACTTCTGCTGTGCTGATGGGAGTGGGCTGGCAGCAGCAGATCAGCAGGGAAAATAGGCACTGTCCTAGATCCGAGGTGCACAACAGCCCCACGTTCATTGCACTCATTCTTTGATCCAGACCTGACACAAGTTTCTGCTTGATTTTCTCCATCACATACAGGAGCAAATTCCCTTTCTGGTTTCTTGACAGCCTACTTTTTTGCTGGGGAAAAAAATATGTTTGCTA